GGGGGGGGAGGGAGCGCGCCCAACATACTCCTCACGGTCTCTCCATTTCGCTCTCATCAGGAGGAAAATTGGATCCCGGTAATGAAAGAATTAAAATCTCATCTCGGCTCCCATCTCCAGGATAGAGTGTGTGTGTGTGTGTGTGTGTGTGTGTGTGTGTGTCTCGGAGGTGGCTCAGATCCATTCCTGGCTACGGAAGGCGTATCTCTCCGTCCTTTGGATCCATTTATGGATCAGCAAAAATTTTTTTATTTCTAATTTATCGAGTGCCCGTCTTGCCTCTCTTGGTAATGCCAGGCGGGTTGCTTTCCCAGCTTGCTAAGCGAGGTAGTTGTTAAGTGAACCTCGCCCCATTTTAAGACCTTTCTGGCCACCGTTGTTAAGCGAATCGCTGCGCTTGTTAACGGTCACACGGTCATTAAGTGAACCTTGTCGGAAGGTTGCAAAAGGGGATCCTGGGACCCCGAGACCATCATAAATAGGAGTTTTCCTGCTTTCACTCCAACCCTGTGAGTTTGACTGGGCTGAGGGAGATGCCAAGTGGGGAATTCTGGGAGTTGAAGTCCTCAATAAGCCCTGCATTAAAAGAATATCCTTTCTCGCCCCAAACTCACCTGTGACAGTAAATCTGATTTATTTTGTGACCTCTTTACAAGTTCCGTGCTACCTCCTGAACAGGGTGTTTGTTGGTTTCCTTCCTTTTACTCACCTGTGCTTCGGGGAGAGATTTATTACCTGCTCTCTTTCATTCAAGGTCTATAAAAGGCAGGGGGAAAAAGACCACAACAATAAAACTTAGCTTTTTATTGCAAGGTGGGAGGGGGGCGAAGTGCCTCACCAAAGCACCTTTCTGCATTCAGGGTTGTGATAATGTGAGATATTAAACGTGGAGGGTTATTACGAAGGGAAGGAGGGAGGAAGGAGATGGTGAGTGTGACGATGAGGCCCTTTAAAGGACCGACAACAAGGAGAAGTTTGATTGGCATAATTGGAGGATGGAGAGAAGAGAGAAGAGGAATGCAGAATAAAATACAGAATAGAGAGGAGAGGGCAGGAGAGGAGAGCAGAGGAGAAAAAGGAAGGGTGGAGAAGTAGGAAGGAGACAAGAGGAAGGGGAAGGAAGGAAAAAGAAACGGTAGGGGAAGGAAGAAGAGAAAAGGAGAAGGAAGGAAGGAAGGAAGAAAAAAGTGGAGGGGAAGGGAAGAGGAGAAGTAGGAGATATGGGAAGTAAGAAAGGAAAGAAGGAGAAGGAGCAGAAAGGGGAAGGAAGAAAGGAAGGAGGGGAAGAAAAGATGGGAGGAGAAAGGGGAAGGAGGGAAGGAAGGAATGGAAGAACGGAAAATGTCTAATCCTGGGCCCTGAACCTCCCCCAGGACCCCAAATCCCACCTCTTTTGTTGCTTCGCCCCCCCCCAAAAAGGGTGCAGATCAGTTGCAGCCCCCCCAGGCGGCCTCCTGTCTCAGCCTCCGCCTTGTGCTGTGCAACCACCCGGCCTTTTAACTGACGGATGGATTTTCCTGTCATCCGGGCAGGCTGGTTTAAATTACTCATTAACTTTTACAGCAGTTACTTGTTTTCGGTGACTTCCACAAGGACGCGCTGATATTAATCTCGACCCTCCTGGGAGGCCGCCTGGTATTTAAAGGAGGCCCGGCTGCTGCTGCTGCGAACGAACGAACGGCTGGCAGCTTTGCCGACAAATGCAAATAGATCATCAGCTGCTCGAAGCCATAACAAAGTTGACAAATTCTTCCCAAGGTTGTTCTCTTTCCTTTCGGTTGCACAAAGGGGCCGAGATTACGGGAGAATTTAACAAGGCCGCCTCCTGGGTTATTCTGGGCTCCTCAACCCTTGTCCAGGTGTGGATTCCCAGATCCCAGAATTCACCAGCCAGCCAGGCCCACTTTCATTGTATTTTTTCCTCCCGCTCCCTAGAGGGGAGAGATTGCAGGGAAAGGGATCCCAAGAGAGTAAGCAGGCACACACACACACACACACACACACTGAGGGTATGCAGCAAAAGGGATGCCTGTGCACCAGGGAATTCTGGGAGATTCTCACAGGTTGAGCTTCTCCAACCTGGTTAAAAGGGGTCTTATGGACTGCCGGAGTGGAGTATGTTCCTCTTAATGTCTTTGGTTTTGAGAGATGTGGAGATGCGATCAATCTCGGCGTGCCATGTTAGCAAATGCTTTGAACAACGGGAACTGGGAATAGGGCCAAAGTCCTCCTCTCATAGATGAGATGTCTTGAAGTGGATGAAATTCTTCCTTCCTTCCTTCCCTCCCTCCCTTCCTCCCTCCATCTTTCTTCCTCCTCCATTTTCTTTCCTTCCCTCCCTCCCTCCATCTTCCTCTGTCCTCTATTTTCTTCCCTTCCTCCCTCCCTCCTTTCCTTCTTCTTCCTCCTAATTCTGAGAAAACCTGGGAGGTGTGTGTGTCCCCCCC